TATAACCGGCTTAGGGCATTATTAGCACATGTCCTGGCTCGTGGGCGAGTTGGTGGCAAAATCTGAACTGGATACTCACTGAGGGCCAGAGCGGGTGCTGTGCCTTCCTCGGCCCTCTTCCTCCTCGCCGGGAACGACCCCTCGCAGGCAGGCTGCGGGCGGGCAGCCGGGCGGAGCGAGCCTCCTCTTGGCAGCTCAGCGGTGCCCCTTCTGCAGCTGTGCCGCTGGGAACATTTTATAGCGGCTGCTGGCGTGTGTGGCCCTTTAAAGGCGCTCAAGCTGGTGCAGTCACCGCGGATCGTGTGAAAGCGAAGGGCCGGCTGGGGAACGGAGTCCTAGCGGCCCCGTTGGTCGGACAGCGCCGGGGACCACCCTCGGTTCCCGGGGTGCAGCCGGCGGGCCCAGGCCAAGGACACCCTCAGCTTTGAGCCCCAGGCCGACGCCTGCGCCTGTAAAGCTGGGGGTGGCCCGTGCCCGGGACATGGTCTCTCCCCACCGCCCTGCATGGACTTGCCCAATAAATTCCACTTAGCAATTTCGCTGAGGCTAGGGAGAGCTGTTAGTGTCTGTTTTTTGACCTAAATCTAGCGGGTGGCCAGAGCGGGCTTCAGGACGTTGAGGGGGGGTGGGGGGGGGTGGGAAGAGAGGTAGAGAGGTATATGGCCTAGGGAATGGCCGGGGAGAGGGGGACAGGGCTCGTGCTGGCCGGGCAGTATTTTGAGTTTTCTGCAGGGCTTTCTCCGAGCCTCTTTGCCCCCTCTGGGCCGCACCATCTTGTTGAAGGGCTGAGGCTGGGAGTCGCTTTCCCCTTAAAGTCGCCGGATTCCGGACAGAGCCTCATGGAGGGCCTATCCGGCAGCGGCGGCTTCCCTCGAAGGCCTGAGCGGGAGTTGGGTTCTAGGGATTCTCTCTTGTGGTTAGCCCCCGGCGGAAGGAGGCTGGCGGGATGCGATGCGGGTATATGCTTGCCTATCCGGACCGTGGGGCCAGGTGCACCTCAGGAAGCCCGCCGCAGAAAAGCCAAGAACTGGCAGCCGTGTCCGAAGAGCTTGCCCCGGAGCTTGAGGGGATCCCTTCTGCCTTCCCATGATGCCAGGTTATTTTATTACGATTATATAATCATTTCCATCTAGCAGGAATAACATTTTGCATTTAGAGCACATATTTCTCAGGTTGGGATACTATCTTACAAATGTTTAAGGGAAACATTCATGTTTCCTTCATGTTCATGTTCCTTGTGGCCAGCAAGCTCCCATCACCTCTTACGGGAAAGCCACGGATTTTCCCTCTACTAAACTCTCTTTTTTGGCCCCTTTCAGCAGCTGTTCATTTTACACTGTTTATAAAACATGCTCTTTTCTTAAAAAGTCCTGATGTTAAGAGAAAAGAGGTGAGGGAATGTCATGAAGTCATTTTCACTACGTATGTGTTCCATCTTCTTAATTGGATTTGAAGACCTAAAGGTCTTTTTCTTTTTTCTTTTCATTTTTTTCTTTCTTCCTTCCTTCCCTTACCTTCCACACACTTTTCCCTAAGTGCCCTGCATTTGCTCTTTGAACAAAGTTCTGTTTGTTGACGGAGTAGCCGGCTTACTGACTTAAGGATGGGGAGCAAACAGAGGGACGGATCAAGGCCCTTCCTTAACACCTGGAGGAAGCGAAGGGCGTGCTCTGGACTCCAGCTAACCCCCTTCCCCAGCCCCAAAAGCTGCCTTGCGCAGCTCTGTTCCTTCCCTCTCCCTGCCTCAACATAAACCCCAGGAACGTTACACCCACACACCGTTTCTCACTTTGCCCAAAGATCGTTGGGTCATGTCCACTTTGCTTCCTCTAAAAGGCGGGATCTGTCGGAACCCAGAAACCCTACAGAGTTTGCCTGTGAAATACATCCGCAAGCCATCTTGGTGTTTGCCCGAGGTGAGCGACCCCAGGGTTTGGAATTGTGTTTTGCTGATTGGACCTCCTACCTACCCTCCCCCTCCGCTCCCTCTGGGCAGCGGGTCTGGAAACAGCGGCAGCAGCGCCGCTGCAGGCTCCGGATCCGGGAGGTGTCGGATCCGCCCTCCATCTATTGGATGGCTCCCAGGCCAATTGTTAGAAAGAGGCATATGTTCATCTCGGCTTCAGGAGTGTCTCCGGAGCAGTTGCTCAACAGCCAGCCCCCTCCCCCATCCGGACCATTGAAGGGCAGAAAAAGAAGCGCCCTCCGCCACAATTCTCTGTGCCCACTTGCTGGACAGTGTCTCCCAGCTGGTGGCTTCCTGTCATCTTCGCTGTCCTTCCACCTCCTGGGGAGCAGAAAAGAGAGGGGCTTCAAGCACTCAGTGGTGGAGCACAAAAGCCACCCCTTTCCTTTTGGGGGAGATAGAAAAGGAGGTAGTTGCAGAGGCAGGGAGAGAGCAAAGGAGACATTTGCATCTATCTGCAAATTTGTCCCCGATCACAGACTTCCCAGTCGGCTCCAGCCCAGCTCAAAGCTCTCCACCGAACTCTTATCTCCAACTTGGCAACTAGATCCCGAGCTCTGGGAAGCAAGGAGAGGACAAGGATGGTTACCCAGCAAAAACTTTCTGTGTGCCAGCATTGGCCTAGCATGTTCCCATCCATCATCTCATTTAATTCCCACGACAGCCCTGTGTGAGGTAGGGTTTACCAAAGGTGAAACCGGGACCCAGAGATATGACCAAGTTAACACAGCCAGGGGGCCGGGTGTTTGAATCTGGGTCAGGCTGACTGCAGAGTCCTTACCCTCACCCTTAACACCTCACTGCCTGCGAGGATAAGGTGGCCTTCTAGACTGGTGGTGGAGAGTACATGTTCAGGGGTCGGTCCACTTGGGTTTAAATTCCCACACTGCCATTTACTAGCTGTATGATCTTAGGCCAAGTGGTTTCATTCTTTGGGCCTCGGTTTTCCTGGCTGTTAAATGGGGATCTTAATGGTAGCAACTCTGTGGGTTTGTTGCAAGGAAAAGCTTAGCTTGGTTGGTGCCTGGTGTGTAGTTAAGTGGTCAACAAATGTTGTCATTGTGCCTTCTGAATCTTTTCCTTTTGCCTCTTAGCCCTGTCTCAGCTCATACACTTCAGGTTCAATAAAACTGACTGATTAATTTAAAAACAAGGCTGAGAGGGGATGAAGGAGGTCTATAAACTCAGGAAGGGGAGGGAGAAGAAAACACAGATTTGTTCTCAAAATCCCATCCCCCAGAACCAAAGGCTGTCTCAGCTATATGACAGGAGTAAATTAGGGACCAATAAAAGGTGACCACTTTTTAGAGGACTGCTGGAGGCCATACAGTGGTCTCCAGAAACATGATGCATATGTGTGTAGAAAATTTTAAAAGCACATCTTTGTTCATGAATGTTTGGAGGAGAATTGTTTACAATAGTGAAAAAATAAAAAGTAATCTAAATGTCCATGGTAAGGACATACCTCAATACCCTGACACCAAGAAATTAAAAATTAAAAATTAAAAATCCTGATTTCTGAAACTCTTTTATTCATGGGAAAATGTTCATAACAAAATATTAAATAAAAAAATGCTGGGTACAAAGTTGCATAAATATGATGCCAGGCTGCAAAGAACACAAAGAGTAGAAAATTAAATACTATGTTTTCAACCATGTATGAATATGGGTAATGAAGCAATGGTCAGGAAAACACCAAACCAACAACAGGGTCAGTGGGGTGGTAGGATTATGGCTGGTCTTTTCTCTTTTTTCCATGTTATGCAATATGATGATTTCTATATTAAATATGAATTTATAGTTAATGAACTGCATAAATGGTATGCTCCCACTTTTGTTAAAATTATATGTGCATAGGGGCGCCTAGGTAACTCAGTCAGTTAAGTGGTCAAGCATCCAACTTCGGCTCAGGTCATGATCTCGCAGTCTGTTGAGTTCGAGCCCCGAGCTCTGTGCTGTTAGTGCAGAGTCCACTTTGGAACCTCTGTCTCCCTCTCTCTCTGCTTCTCCGCTGCTTGTTCTCTCTCTTTCAAAAATAAATAAGCATTAAAAAATTTTA